CTTGCTGACAATTGCTCGTGATCACTTCCAGGAAAGCAAAGTGCTTAAATGATCCACTTCCAAAGTACAAAGACCAGCAAATTCGGAGGAGATTTAGGAAGGAGGAAAAAAAACAAAAAACAAAAAAAACAACGGATCAATAGCCAATGGCTGAAGACCAGCAAATTCGGAGGACATTTAGGAAGGAGGAAAAAAAAACAAAACAAAAAAAACAACGGATCAATAGCCAATGGCTCCTAAACTCGAAAAAGTTCCACATTAGGATACTCATAAGTCAAGGAACAAATGCTTGTCTTGTTTAATTTGAAAAGGCCACATGGGAAGACTCTACTGTGGTACTTGGAAACGTGCACAGGGCACTTGTTTGTCTCACGCCCCTCTCTGCATTTTTTTTTTGTGGCCTTGAATACCTCTCTGATCACAAGATTTCCATCTGGGTCATGTGTTGAAACTAAATAAGAGGCCCGGGGACGGACATACGGCGACCAGAGTGCAAGACCAAAGTGTGCATATTCTAATCCAATTAAAAAAAAAAAAAGAATAATTCCATTCATCTTGGCGTGCGGAAAGTTTTCAAAAGCTGCGATTCACAACTTGGTGACGGACTATTTGCCACCAAACAGGGAGTCGCTTCTAAGTGGAATGCAATTACCTAACTGGATCAACAAACTGCGTCTTGCTTCCGACTGGCTAGATCTCACCAATACGAAGTACAGCGACAGCGATTGATGATTAAAAAAAACTATCCAATTGCTCCGGTTCGGTTATCTATACCAGCAATTTATAGTGACGGGTAAAACAAGGAAATGCTCATCCACTCAATGGCAGAGGGTACGTAATAAACCTGTCCATCCAGTTTTGTGTGACCTCACAGCACATCAACAAACAAAAATGTCACAACTGATCTTGTTGCAATTTACAAACATCCTCAGTGTGACATCTGGGACCGTTTAGCTAAACACAAGGCTATTACTGTATTCTGTTGGGTCAATAGCAACGGGTGGTTAGAGGACACACAGGTTCATTGTCCGGCATTTAACTGTACTGCCTGTCAATGTAAGGTGCTGGCTTTGATAAATGAATAAAAGATAGTTTATTATTTGTAGTAAATAAATATTTTTGAACACATTTAAATAGCTAGCTATGCCTAAAATCCAAAAATGAATATTTTTGGATAGTCCAACTGACATCGCCACTTTAGAGTGCTTCGTTGTCAGCAGTGGGTGCTTGCACGAGACCAAGTAGCATCGCTTATTCTAAGTCGAAGAAATGAAATTTGATTGACAGGTGAGTGGATGTGGTTTCACATCATTCAGCATAAACACACCCAGTGCTCAAAAGCGAAGAGAATGGCGAGTTTGTTCACAATTTTCAAGTCTCATTTCATTAACCATTCAAATTTGACAGCCGTGTCAATCACACTCTTCTTTGTCATTTGTCAAATTTGAAAGACATTTATCTTCATTTTAAAAGGACCTTAGGGAATAGTGGACAATCTCCCCAAGCTCATTTGGTGATTTACAATGTTTATTTTGTTTTGTCACTTAAAAATTGACAAGTTACTAAATTTGTAGTCAGTCATTCATTTCCGGTCAGTGAAATATGACGTCATGTCGTCGCATGTGATTAAGTCAAATCAATTTCACCTGCATTCGGTTTAACTAAACGCTATTCACAATTCGAAGGACGCCAAATCTATTACATTTAACATTTGGTTACTTTTTAGGAAGAAAATTTAATCGTGATTACACCACTTTTATCTTTGGTGCCGTACGCGTGGACAGCGTGGTTCGTTTAAGCTACTAGCCGGAGCAAGTCCATTAAAAAAAAAGTGTGGGTGCGTGTGGGGGTGGTCTCTAAACTCAAACAAGCTTTTAAAGTGCGTATATGAGGAGACACTGACTGACCTTGTTGTCTGGTTTCCATGGCCAACTTCCACTCGAGGTGCCACGCAACACGTCACGGTGTCAGCAGGAGCTTGGCACCGGTGCCAGGGTCAGTTCGTGGCCGCCGTCTCTTCTGCTTTGACTGCTTGTCACGAGATCTGGCAACCGAAAGTGGGCGGTACGCAGGATATGCGCAAGCCAATGAGCGCACGCGCCGCTGACACCTACGTCGCAGTGTTTTATTTCTGGGTACGTTTTTGAGAGTGGGGACGTCTTTCGTTTGTTTTGTTTCAATATTCAGTTTATAATACTCCGTTAACACTACTCATGTCCTCTTAAAAAGATTCTACTGTGTTTTCATGCTGGTACTTTGGACAACGACGAGTGTCGGACATATTTGTGCGTGGCTGTGGTGCTCTGCTGCCCTCTGCTGACTCCTACTGTAATCACAGCTGTATTCAACAAGCTGTTGGGTTTGTTGCATCATCAAAATTACTGTTTTATTGCCGCAACATAAGAAGAAAAAGTACACAACATGACGACTTTGTTCATAGGAACAGTTTCAGCATGATATATTACCTCTTTGGGCAAGTTCATTTGTGTTTATAATGTAGAAAAAAAGGTAAATATCTGAAAAGCTTCAGGTAAATTTTGAAAGGAACTTGAGAGGCAGAATTTGAGGAAATATTCCGAATTTTAAACTTTCAATGACAATTAGAAGGAAGGGTAATTTAATGCGAATGCACGACATTCAAGCATGAATACAAACATTTTGTTTTTTTATGAGCAGACATCCACCTACTATAGTACAAATAAAAGTCATGGCATTTCAACAGGTCAATTGTGCAACAAGTTTAACACTCTCTATTCAGAGCCAACTTCCAATTTTGTTTTGTCACTTTATTCCTGTATATTCCATTTAATTGCCGTGGCAAAATTGCAACTTTGAAATTTCCCAGACGTTCCATTTAAACTCCGATGATTATCTTCGCTGTCTCTCTTACGCGTACATGTTGTCCCCCTGCCCCCCCCCCCCAAAAAAAAGAAGAAGAAAAAGCACACACGCTCTTTAATTCTGAGGAAGTTTATTTTGGAAGAGTGTAATTTTTTTTTCTGACACCAACTCATCCAAAGGCTTCCCGTGGAATGCCAGGATTTTTTTTTTTCCATAGCCGCCGTTTTTGGAAACAATACAATTATTAAAACAACAGTTTTGTCTTTCCTTCCTGAGAAACTGATGCGGAGTGCATAGAAATGAAGAGGAAAAATAAGAATAATAAATTAAAAGAAAGGTGAACACAAAGCAGGACAACTTTGGGAGAGGACCGAGCATGGCTATCGTATACAGAAGGAATACGTTATTTCGCTGCTGGTGGAAGTCGCTATATTCCGATGGTTTTAAAGCATAATATTTTTTTTACAGTATACAGGCACTGCCTTACTTATAAACATTTCGGATATACAAATAATTCTGTTAGTTCAGACTTTTTATAAACTCTCCGGCGGCGAAATTTAGAGTCTGGTGACGTCAGTGTCGTGTGCCGCAATCTGCCAGGCAACACCGAATTCGACTGGAAGAGACACAGCGCAATTATTAGCAAATAAGAGCCGCTCATGTCGTAAACTGAGATTATAAACCTGTGAATATTATTGTATTCATCACGCGTACGTGTGTGTTAAAGTAACAATTGTATGACAGTTTAAAATACCGATAGCATGTCGACGTCTACAGCATTTTACATTGTGTTAGCATTGAGCTAACGGAAGTGTTAGGCGAAATTATTTTTACAGTTAACTTCAATTGAGCGTGACAAACCAACAAGCAAAACAGCCTGAAGTGTTTTGCCTCTTATGTGGAGAATTGCGAGCAAAGTCTTCTTTTTGTTTCTTCAAAGCGATGTTCTACAATAGTCTCCCATTTAGTGAAAGCAAGAGAGGCGCTGAAGAAATACTTTCGAAAAGTGCGTTTTAATACTGTCGGTTGAAGTGTGTTTTTAAGTTTAAATGTGTTGAAAGTGTCGGGGTGTGGACCTTTTTTTTTCATAGGGTCAGTATCTTTATTTTCCTAATTTTTTTTTGCAGTGGAATTACTTGCATCAATGAGACAATCTTTTATTTGCAACAAATAACTCTGGCCAACTTCAAGTCCCAATAAAGTGAAAGCAAACTATAAATCTCTGTTTTCAGCTATTTAGGTCAAACTCAGTCATACTTGCGCACTTTGCTGGAATTCTTTGAATTCATAAAGGAGTGCAGACGGTTTAACCCTCATTTATACCTTTCGGAACAAGAATAATATCTTTGAACAAAAACGCACAAATCACTCGGAGCCACGTTTCGAACAAGTGGTACAGTTTGGTTTCGGTTGGATCAGGTTTGGACCGGTAGAGCTTGATTTGCACCCGCCGCGTATTTTTCCTCTTTTGCGATAAAAGTCAGCAATGGCGCGATTGTCGGATGCCCCCCCGCGAGATTATCTTTAGCGATTATCCTGTGATTTTTCCACCCCCGACATGCTCGGAAAATGGCCGAAGCTGACAATCGTAAATGTTAAACCCGCTCAACATGAGCATTTTCTTTCTCTTCAATTCATAGTCAACAAGCGGATTATTTTGTGGTGTGCGGTGTGATTGGCAAAGCAATCGACATACTGCTCTGTGTTCAAATGAGCTTCAGGCATTGTACCGCAACTGTGGGAAAATCGTACCACACTGAACGGAACCAATTTCCATGTATCACATAAACACAGACATCAACTCTTGGCATAACGTACCTTCCTATCTTCCCAGGCCCCAGTCCACATTCCAAACGGAACCAAACTGCTCCTCAGGGGAAACGCGCTCCTCAACAGCGTCCTGCCTTGGCGACGTTTGGCACTGATAACCAGACTGTATACTACTTTGATGTTTGGCTTCTTATCTTTTTTTTTCCATGTATCTCATAAACACAGACATCAACTCTTGGCATAACATACCTTCCTATCTTCCCAGGCCCCAGTCCACATTCCGGTGCTTCATCTCTCCTGGAGAATACAGCAAGAACCGCTTCTGTGTTGAAGAACAAGCCGTGAAGACAAGCACAAATAAAAAGGAAAGCTGCGCTTCATGTAGAACGGAGTTAAGCCTTATTCCTCATGATCCTCAGTCAATTTTTAAATAATCTCGTCCTTTCCCCGTCCGACTCGTCGCCAGTGCCGAGCCCCGTCCACAAGTCTTGTATCCAAACGCATCTCACCTTCGATGGGGCAACTGTCATCACCCTCAGGCCGCCATCGCCGTGGAGGGAGGAAGCTAGTGTCATACTGCTTCAAAAAAAAAAGAAAAAAACCAAAACAACGAAAAATAGTTTTTATTGATGGATGAGCCAGTTGTTTGCGTCCTCCAGATCAGTGTCCAGCTCTTCGTCCTCATCCAGGGGCTCGGGGGTCCGGAGCTCGAGCTCCCGCAGGAAGTCGGGCGTGTAGGCGGGCGGCTGGGCGTCCGACTTGAGGCCGATTTTCTTCTTGGTCAGGTGGAACTGGTCCCGGATGAAGTTGTAGAATTCGTATTCGTAGCGCATACGATGGTAGAGCACTTGCAGCGCCTCCAGAGTGGGCGTGTGTTTGCGTACCGTGCCCGTCATGTTGCCCATCTTCCTGTGGTCTACATACAAACACACTTGGTCACTTTTTGATAAGAACTTACACATGTAATTTTTATTTATTTTTTTGTCAGCCAAACTTTAGAGTGTAAAGTGGAAGTCGGGACACTCGTACGTCAAGGTCGCACTGTCCTGAGGAAGACATTGGCCTACCAGGGCTTTTATAGATGTTGATCACCCCCGTAAAGTAGTGTGGGAGGAGCCTCTCCAACAGGAGCAACACATCTTCCAGCTCCTCCAAGATGCCCACCAGCAGGTAGTTCTCCAATACATTCTGTTTGGCCCGCTCCAGAGCCCACGGACCCGGCTCTCTGATCGACGGAGCAACAAAATACGTCAGACCAGCTGTGCCTGCCAAGACACAATTGAGGCTCTTGAGAAAGCACATACCTGCATTTCGGGTGCTGCCCGCAAAAGTATGGGATGATGTAGAAGACTCGGGGGTTGGAGCACTCCGGGTAATTCTCCAGAATGCACACGTTTATGTCCTGGAAAAAAAAAATAAAAACATCGAATGAGCACGAGTTGTCGCTGGCTGATAAAAAACCGAATGAAGTTTATGTGGGATGTGAGCAGCTTTCGGGTCTCCTTCAAACCAGCCAAAGTGAACTGTACTAACTCATTCCGTCCGCTAGAGGGAGCGCTGCACCAACGCCTGCTTCCAGAGCAATCAATTCAATTTCACCCGAGGTACACTTTGGCCCCGAGAAGCGGCGAAGGACCACACGCCGATGAAAAAGATGTAAATGATTACATAAATAAGAGTCGTGAACCTTCAACCACCCCGGCAGCGTGCGCGTAGCGATTAAAATCAGGCACACGGTTGTAAAAGCAGCAAGCCACTGTGTGACAAAATGGAGATGCGGTTCTCCATTTAAGAAGAAGTAACGGAATTTTTTTTAGGTTAATCCCAGTGAACTGAGGCAAGAGCTCTATTAAACAATAAAAATAAGACTATATATATCGAGGAGCGTGAAGCTATCGAACAATTTCAGCCTTCTCGTATCCACCTGATAATTCTATAGAATAATAATTCATTTGGAGAAACTTTTTAATTTCGACATCACACACCGGCTGCCCGTTTCCATGCCTGTCGCGCCGAAGAGACGACGTCATCGGAAAAGCGAAACGACATTGAAAGTGTGATGAATAAGATTCATGCTACCGATGAGCGGGCAATGGCCGGAATGAAACGGGGCCATTTGTCAACGCCAAAACCAAGACTAACATAGTCCATCACCCAGATTACAGACAGGCAGACTGGCCTCAACCTTGGAGCGGGAGACGAACGCAAGGCTAAATTGGTCACCACGATGGTGGATTTTTTGTGGTCTTTTCATTCACTGACACTATTTTTTTGTTTTGTTTTTACAATTAACAATAGCTAACTTAATCTTCTGCATGCATGATTAAGAGCTGACTGTAAAGGGACGCACATTCAGAACAGGACAATTTGACTGGAAGATGTTGGTTATTTTTACACTTGTATGTAGGTACTGTACTAGAATTTTTTTCCCTCGAAGCTCAATTGTGCAGCCAGGAGGTATGAAATCCCTTTCAGGTGCTTGGGCGAAGACTTTTTTTCCGGTCGGGATGAAGGAATTCCTCAGGAAGAGGAACGATTGCTACTGTCAAATAGAAGTGCCAGGTGGTTGTGCGAGGATTATCTTCTTTCATGTTTCCCGCCCCACCATGTGGAACTCCCTTTAGCCCATGACTTCCATGGAGAAAAGGCAAAGGGGGGAAAATCTTTTGAGATTCAAATGCTATTTTAAAATACTCAATTTTCTTTGAAAAAAGTTGATTGCCACGCCTAGTTGAAGTTTACTGTCAACACAAATATATACAATTTGTGCGGCAGCACGGTGAGGGTTCGATTCCGGCTCCGGCCTTCCTGTGTGGCGTTTGCATGTTCTCCCCGTGCCTGTGCGGGTTTTCTCCGGGTACTCCGGTTTCCTCCCACATTTCAAAAACATGCACGGGGGGGGGGTTTGGGAACACTCTAAATTGTGCCTAGGTGTGACTGTGAGCGCAGATGGTTGTTTGTCTTTGTATGCCCCGCGATTGGCTGGCGACCAGTTCAGGGTGTACCCTGCCAACTGCCTGATGACAGCTGGGAAAGGCTCCAGCACGCCCGCGACCCTCGTGAGGATAAGCGGATCAAAAATGGATCTCAATTGTTGCTCATATGACTCATATGGCCCATATCCAGGAAGTTTGCGGACTTTGTGACTGCTCATACTTGTCGTGCTGCACCCTACTTTTGAGGAATCCACTCAAGGCTCATTTTCTATACAGCCATGCACGTCAGCGGTGCACGCGCTCACGCGCAAGTCATTAGTATTTGTGGGAGAGTACCAGTGTGCACACTCGGGCTCATTGTCACTATTCTCTGTGTGGATTAGGCCCACTGAAAAGTCTTTCAAAGTGGAGCAAAACAGGCGCTAATCTGTCAAAAAGCCTCTCGTTGCACTTCATGGAAATGCGAGCGTGTGAACTAAACAAGCAGGGAGCAAAGGGGTACATTCGTTTGGATTGCTGTAAATGTAAAAAAAAAATGTATATATATATTTTTAATCTGAATATTACAACATTATTCCCTTATGAAAATTGTTTTCATCGTATTACAGCCTTTTTTTTTTTTTGCAAAACCATTATCTATTATTGTGACCACTTATTAAAAAAAAAAAAGCAGGTTTTTACATATAGCGGGTGTGTCTGGAAGATATCCCCGCTCTCTACAGTAAATGGGCGTTCACTGTATACTGATGACATAAACGCACAACACAACACTCAGTCGAGTTCGGACCCGTGCCAATGCAAAACAAACCGCATTTGGATGAGTCCCAGATTTTCGGATTGGGCTCCAGAGCCAAAGTTAATCAATTCACCTTCGGGTCTTACGACAGCTCGAATCCCTTTTTGTGTTTGGCTGGTAACAAACAAACAAGGCGCCTTGTCTGGGTTGGTTTGTTGATATGCTTATGCGGCAGGTCCTACCGGGCGGTGTGTGCACAATATGCATTCAAACGTTGTGCACATACGTTGGGAGGGGGGGGGGGGGTGTGGAGGGTGGGGGGGGGGGGGGGGGGGGGGGGGGGGGGGGGGGGGGGGGGGGGGGGGCAGGGCGACCGCAGGAATGTCTCGGGGAACTCGCACGTTGGGTGCCGTTGGGCCAGCTGACAGCCTCTTTCGATGACACCTCTTGGCGTGATGCAGAAAGCGGTCTGGATTCTTGGCACGTGCCCTCAAGGACACTTCATATGCGGGATTAGTTTGGATAGCGACACTGATTAAGGAATGGACGCTGAAAAAATTTTTTCGATTACCTCTCATATGCCACTGCTAACGCTCTCACGCCACACACACAACTGAAATGTCTCACCAGAGCCGCTAAAATGCATTTACACGCACTACTGAAAGAATCAGACCCAATTCAAATTATCTCACAACAACCACTGCAGACCCTCATAGGCATTACTGAAACATTCTCATACACTACTGAAACTCACTCACTCTCACACACACACACTCTCACACACACACACACACACACACACACACACACACGCACATGCGCGCACACACACACACACACACACACACACACACACACACACACACACACACACACACACACACACAACTGACACGTTCCACTATATGAAAGCATTTGAGGATCATGTGTAGTACCTTTTAAGTAATGTGTGAGAGGATAAGAGCATTTTACTCGTGTGCTAAGAGTGTTTTGCTTTTATGTGAGAACACTTGACTCGGGTGGAAGAGTTTCAGAATGTGTTCAAAACAATTCAGTAGTGTCTGATAGTATAGTATGATGAAATCAGTTGTGCTTGTGAGAGTTTCAGTAGCATTTGTGTGCAAGCACAGTGTGTGTGTGTGTGTTGTGAGCAGAATTTTTGTGTGGTGTCTGGATAGTGTTTCAGAAACTTGTGCGAGTGTGTTTAATGCATGTGTGTGAGAGAGAGAGAGAGAGAGAGAGTGAGCATTTCATTTGCGGGTTCCATTGTTGAGTATGGCTAAGAAAGAGTGGTTCAGCAGTGCATGTGAGAGTATTTCAGTAGTTTGTGAGTGAAAACCACCAATCGTGTGTGCGAACGGGGGGAAAAAAAACAATCAGTAGTGAGTGTTTCAGTCGTGGTGTGAGAGGTGATCCAGAATTCTGGCACGGACAGCTTTCCGCTTGCGAGCACTTCCTTACTTACAAGAGGGATTATATCGCATCTATGTGACAAATGTCATCCACAGGTAAGCCGGTCTGCAACAACAGGACCTTCACCTTTACCCTTTTCAAATGTAGCAAGCCCCCCCCCGCTGGTTTGCATACTTCAATAACTCGACTCACATGGTCCGAAACTGCGGGGAGACAAGCGGCGCAACGCTCAATTACTGCCAGTCAGACTCAAGCCAGGATGACATTGTGTCAGCCTCTCATTACAGCTTGAGCTTCCACAGTATTTTTATCATCCCATAATATTATGCCGCTAACCGCGGTAGGAGTCGCAAAGTCATTTCTGACACGTGGTCACTAAAACAGAAGTCGTGATACTTAACGGGAGCGTCTTGGGTCATGATGTAGCTCAATCATGTTTTCGATCTCGGTGTCTGCTTCAGCAGCATGAAACGACACCCCAAAAAAAAAAAATAATAATAATCTAAACGCGATTCTGCCACAGCGCCGTGGTTGGCAATGTCCGTCTGAGCGGCAGAGAGGGAACGTACCAGATATCGCTCGTCGTCGGTCATCTGGGGGGTGCGGATGAGGTGGTTCTGCTCGCCCCTCCAGTCGCCGAAGCGACGGAAGAAGTAGTTGGACAGGAAGCGGTTGATGGGGTCGCGGATGATGTTGATGTAGACGGGCTCCTCGATCTTAAACCTGACAAAGGCGAGGTTCCAAACGGAAGTGAGTAGCGGTTAAGAGGCGAGTACGGCTTAAGTGTGTTTATTCACCTGGTAAAGTTGAGGAAGTGAACATGACGCGTGTAGAGGAACGGCTGAGGGATATTACTGATGTTCTTCATTAGATCCACCTGAGGATAAAGAAGGAAAAAAAAACATATGAAAAACTCTGCAAGAAATAATTGTTGGAAAAAAAAAAAGAAAGAAAAGATGACCTGACAGATAAGGACCAATTAGCTTAGCTCTGAGCTAATGGAAGCTAAGCGAAACCACATGCATCCCCCCACTAATAAGGGGCTTTATGAAAGACCAACACACACATGCGCTTTTCTAAACTGAAAAAGTGACATCATAAATGATGAATCAAATCGAGCGGATAATTGTAATTTGCTCTCAGGACTGACTTCAGTGCAGTCAAACCCTTGAGGGCTTCATCACCGCTCCATCGCCGTTAGCTTCCTCTCACGATATTCATCGCCGCTCTTTTATTTTTTTTATGATTCATTTCAAGTTTGGGTTCTCCTGAGCATATATTTTCTCTGTTTAACAATTTATTATTTTTTTTGCGAGAAGCAGCTTGGAAAATTAGCGTGACAACAGACTGCAAAAAAAATGGGGTTCCACTATTTTTTCACTTAATATCGTGTCAACTCCCACGAAACAGGACGTAGCCTGAACATTAATACTCATTTAACAATTATAGGTCTTATTTTTAGCAAGGAATACATTTTTTGTTGTTGTTGTTTCAGTTACGGGAGAACCATCACCCCTATTTTACAACAAAAAATGGTACCCGCCAATTGTGTTGGGTGAACCAGGAAGTGCTAAGATGCCACTTAACACGGCCAGATAAAACATAATTGTGGCGTGACATGAATTTGATCACTTTTATTAGAAGAATTGAGCGTCACTTCCGTCATGATAAAACGACACCATGAGCTACTTAATGAGGGGAAAAAATAATGGTTCGGTCCCGGCGACCTCCACCAATCAGGAAGTAGCCTGCTAACTCAGGCAAGGACAAAACGCAAGTAAACATTTTGTCGGAAAAACAATTTTCTGTCATGACTGAATTATTCCTCCACCTGTTCCAGAGATAAAAGGATATAATCCGGTCTTTCATGCTCTGTTTTATAATTGCTGGATGGATCTTTGTACACGGTTCAACCTTGGCTGAGGTCTGCACCGCCGAGTGCCACTCAAACTCTCTTCCTCTTCCCTTGACTGTGAATGAAAGAACCTCCTGAAGGCTTTCAAGGTCTGCATGGAGCGCGCAACTCGTGGCAGCCAAAGCAAACGTGAAATATGGCAGTGATGTCATCGGCTGCACAAACGCCAACTGGGGGGGGGGGGGTTATGCAATCTGACAGACGCATCCTTCACATAGACCCTTTACACATACTTGACTCAATCTTTACTGTTATCTCCTTCACACGTGTACAGTGAGAAATTGTTCCCCCTCCTCCGAAGTTCTTATCCACTTTGGGCACCATTTTAGCAACCAGGTATTTTTGTTGAACTAGAATAATAATAATAATAATAATAATGCATCATGAGGGTAATTGCTGATGTGTTCAATGGAAAAATGCTAACGTGACTAGTTAAAAAGAATACAAATTTAAGTCCGGAACACACTGTGGGTGATGCTGCCGGATGAGAGTAAGCCGCACATCAAGTGACTGAGCACAACCAGTGCGCTACAACAGAAAAAAAACCGTGACCCTGAATTGGGTTTTTGAGGCTCGGTTGAACCGTAAAAACATAGCGTGATTGCCAAAGATAAAGCGGATTGCCCCCCTCGCACCCTCCCCCCCCACCAAAAAAAAAGTGGTGTGGATATTTTGAGAGGCCGTTGACAAATTCACAGATTGCATTTACACATTTCAGTGACAGAGACTCGGCTCGTTTTTTCTTTCCAGCCCCAAGTTTAAAAAAAAACTGATTATAAATATGGTTAACTATTATTATAAATCAGAGTGTTATATGCTCAAAATCAGGATTTTTTTTTTTTTTTTTTTTTTTTTTTGCGAAAGCTCCTCTGTATTATTGATCGGCTGGACCGTTGTGACGACAATCAATGCAGATTCAAATTTTGAATCACTGCCACAGAACCAGTGGCCGACGACAGTTTGGAGAGACTAAGCAGGCAAGTAGTGCACTCAAATGCAAATTTCCCAGATATAAAAATATATTCATACGCCACAAATGTTGATGAATCTCCTGTGACCGATCACATTAGATTAAATGTACTTCCTGTCGGAGCCGGTGAGCGAGTGGATGTCGAGCATGTGGAAGTTTCCAACATATAAAGAGCACTTTTCAAACACCAACAATCCAGTACGGGCATCCACAGCAATGGCACCACTCGCGCCATCAGCCGTTTTTTCCCCCCCAAAACGCAGCCAATTTTGGCTTTTATGGCCGTCTCGTTTGGCGCGAAAAGCTAATATTCCGGCTTTTAAACCTGAATGAGTCCTTCTTATGGGCAGCGGCGTTCTGTGAAGGGCGGCGTTTATCGGGCAGACTGCTTGAATGCGCTGCTCTTATAAACGGGCAGTTATGTCATAGCAGTGGCAATATGTATCCTTGTTTATGTACACAAGGGTCTTAATCTTGGGCCTCAGTCAGCTTTGGGCTTCTCACCTTGCCACTGGGTACATTTCCACTTGCTCTGATTCGACTTTTGGGCCGAGGACAGTCAAAGCTATCGTATTATTTTAATCCCTCTTCCTGGGTTACACTCGAGCTCCGTCTGTATCAACTCCATATTGCGTCCAAACCAAATAGCCCCAAAGTTAACCCCCGCCGCGCCGGCCACCGACGTAAAGTGCTCCTTGTAAAGCGTTCCCTTCCCAGGGGTCAATGAGTCGACACGAGGCACGTTTGGCAGCGAGTGTTTGTGGGTTTTTCTGACCGAGCCCAAAGGCCGTCTGGCCAGACGGCCCCTCTTTCACCAAGGAGAGAAAAAACGCGGAGAGATTCCAAGCATACCTGCACCCCCCGCCCCTCCGTTCCTCCTGCGCCCCGTGGCGTCCTCGCAGGACTCATGAAGGGGAAAAAGGGGAAGCGGAGGTGAAGTGGGGGTGGGGTGG